CCGTGGGTTCAAATCCAGCCCGTGGTATGGTTTTTTTTTTTAAGTATCTCCTCAGGGTACTTGTTGACAGGCTTCGCAGCCTCTGTCTTTGCACTCCACCTCATTTCAGACTCTAGCTTAACCATAGGCACAGCATTTTTGAGTTTTTTCCTGCACTGTGTTGAACGAAAGTACACGTAGAGCTCTTCGATGGTTCCAAAAAACTTGATCATCGTTCTATCCTACTTCACTACATGTACACCCACCAAGTTGAGTGAGTGATTGTCGTAGCTCACAAACACTGCCAGGTTGTTTTTTCACTTATTCTTTGATGAACACCACTTGTGTGTCCAGCCATCACAGCAGCATTGATATAGCACTATGACCGACAATCTTGTAGCTCCATTTCATACTTCTTTAGCTGTTTCAAGATGCCTTCAACCAAGCTCTCAACATCCTTCTGGCTTATCTGGATAAAACCAAGGAAGAACTCTCTAACACGGACTGGATTCCTCTCAAAATCAACTTCCACATATCTCACTACTACTGACATCCGCTCACGGTGTGCCTGATCAGGAGTCGAGTCAAACATGAGGCAGGTGAAATTGCTGACCTAGAAAATGTACAGAGAACCTTCACGGCACACATAAGTACTGGAAAACAGCTAAGTTACTGGGAACGGCTGAAGTTCCTCAACTTATATTCCCTGGAATGCAGGCGGGAGAGATACATGATTATATACACTTTGAAAATGCTCGAGGGATTACCAAATTTGCACACGAAAATCACTCCCTACAAAGCAAAAGATTCGGCAGGCGATGGAACATCTCCCCCGATGAAAAGTAGGGGTCCCATTAGCACGACAAGTGTCAGGGGCCCAAGACTTAAACTGCCTCCCAGCATACATAAGGGGGATTACCAGTAGACCCTTCACTAGTGTGCCTTCGAGAGGTAGTTCTCTTCTGTTTGTCTTCAAGAAGGCTGTGGACAGGTACCTAAAGTCAGCAGGTCAGCCCGGCTGTGGTTCGTACGTTGGTTTATGGTTGGCCATCAGTAACAGCCTGGTTGATCAGACCCTGATCCACCATGAGGCATGGTCACAGACCGGGTCATGGGGGCCTTGACCCCCGAAACCCTCTCCAGGTATTATCCAAGTATAGTACTTGGCTTTATGAATGCTTCTCAGTAAACTGGCGAACAGTGGATGCCATCATTTGGATGAATTCGTTCTGAACACCCGGTGAAAGATAAGATCTGGATCCGGGATTCATTTCCACAATTGAAGTTTCTTTCATGACAGGGTCAAAGATGGCCAGTAGTTTCAGTAAGCCAAGGAAATTTCCCACATTGGAGTCATCGTCCAGCTGAAGTGACTCCCAGTGTCCTCGCATAGTCAGGTTCTGAGTCGCAAAGAATTTTATGCAGTGAAGGATTCTCGTCAAGATATCACCCCACTTCTGCTTTTCCTTCTCAATCTGTGACTGAAGTTCCGCATCAGTAACTCCTCTGCTTTCAGCTAAATTTCTTTCCTGTGTGTGTGTGAAGCACTCCCACTGATTCTTAGCATTTTCATGAACTAATCCTCTCAGGTGCTTTCCACTGATTGATTGAATCCGCTTTTCTGCTCCAATGATGGTCTGACCGGGAATAGAGAAGACAGCAGATACAAAATTCAGACTTTTTTTTTTTAGAAGGGGAATAGACCAGCCATGAGGGAATTGCCTCCTCACCACGACTATTTCCCAATTTTTCTCTTGAACCAAGTTTTGTTCTTTGAGCGGTTATTTGTTGGTAGGAAAAACCACTCACTGTTCTGAAAATACTTTGAACTCAGCTTTATTTTTGTTCTCAACGCGTCAGGCAGAATTGCTTTCCAGTATCCTTGTTAAATTTCAGAAGTCCAGTATCATGCTGTTAAATCACTTCTGGTATGAGAGCTCGAGGCTCTTCAACACCATCCAGTTCACGAGGTTCAATGTTGTCAGGTTCAATCTTGTCAGGTAAAAATCTCGTCAATAAACAATCATCTTCCCCTCCTGTCATGTCCACATTTTCTCTGCCAGCCTCACTTTTAATCTCACCATACTCGGATTTAACTGATGACGTCCTCTTCGGTTTTTGACGCACTTGTACATGATCCACTTTCTGATTGTAATAAACGTGTAGCAGGTGAAGGTGACTCCATGGAACATGTCGAACAACTTGTTCCGGGCTTTTAAAAGAATGGCACGAGGAACTTGACGTCTTGGCTTTTTTCGCCTCTTGCTTTTGTCTCTTCCGTCCTTCAACTCCACTTTCCTTCTTCATGAAGAAACATTTCATGGTCTTCCTACACAATGATCTGAAATAAGGAAATGGCACTTTTAATAAGAACATTAAATTTCACAGATTTTGCACAAAATTCTAGACTACCTCCCTAGTTTATGCAGGTGAATGGTCTTATTGCCAGTTGGCACTGAGCAGTGGTACTGTGAGGTGTGTGGTCATGTAGCTCCCAGCACTGTATTTTTACCTAATAATTTATATATGTAATTTAACAATCTAGCCATCCTAATGCTTCTCACCCATGATAATCAAAGATCATACATCTGAAGACATTTCTTTTTTCACTATCATATATCTGAAGAATTTTGTTTTTCACTATCTTAGGATGGCTTATCTGACTTGAATAGAAACTGTTCGGTGGTGCCCCCCTTCAAGTGGTACCCAGGGTACGTGCCATACCTTAGGAATGCCACTGTTTTCTCCCCTACTAACTCTGTGACCGTGGATTAGGAACATATGGTTCCTGTATATTATGAAAATTTACACCAGTAAAATTGGCGAAGATCTGGAATTCATTGCCAGAACACACTAAAGGGCCCCTGCTGCCTGCAAATCAATTTAAAGCCTTAGAAATCACCTCATCACCCAAAATTAACCGGACAAACACTTTATCAGTTACTCAAAAGTTACTCAAAAAACTCCTAAATAATTTATAACTGCTCAACTATTTGATCATTTACTTCAAATTCAAATTTTTATTTCTTTGCAAATTTACAATGAGATTGACATGTTGTAGGGAGTCGTATTTACATAGATAGTTTAGTGTGTAATTACAATAATGATTTGCAGTGCAAAGAGAGCCACTATTATGCCTTGGCATGATTATTTAACTATTTATATCAAAACTGTAATTATTCTCTACCGAACTTACTAAAGCCATATAGAGTGAACTAGTTGAATATTCAATTTTCTTCTACTCACTGTAACTCACCTAATGACTACATGTTCACCAAATTGTTACACTCCTTTGTACAAACATGTATCATGCTAAAATAAACTTTTTATTATACGGTGCCCTGTGGCCTGGTGGCAAAAGCTCTCGCTTCACACGGTGAGTGTCTGGGTTCGATTCCCGGTGAAGGGGTGGAAACATTGGATGTGTTTCCCTACACTGGTTATCTATGTTCACCATCAGTAGAATGGGTACCTGGTTGTTAGTCGACTGATGTGGGTCGCATATTGGGACAAAACCGTCTTAATTTGCCCGAAATGTCCTGCATAACAAGCGGCTTTCTATGTAGTAATACGTCGTTGATGTCAGCTAGGCCTGTTTACCTGGAGAGAGTTCCGGGGGTCAACGCCCCCGCGGCCCGGTCTGTGACCAGGCCTCCTGGTGGATCAGAGCCTGATCAACTAGGCTGTTGCTGCTGGCTGCACGCAAACCAACGTACGAGCCACAGCCCGGCTGGTCAGGAACTGACTTTAGGTGCTTATCCAGTGCCAGCTTGAAGACTGCCAGGGGTCTGTTGGTAATCCCCCTTATGTATGCTGGGAGGCAGTTGAACAGTCTCGGGCCCCTGACACTTATTGTATGGTCTCTTAACGTGCTAGTGACACCCCTGCTTTTTATTGGGGGGATGTTGCATCGTCTGCCAAGTCTTTTGCTTTCGTAGTGAGTGATTTTCGTGTGCAAGTTCGGTACTAGTCCCTCTAGGATTTTCCAGGTGTATATAATCATGTATCTCTCCCGCCTGCGTTCCAGGGAATACCGGTTTAGGAACCTCAAGCGCTCCCAGTACACCTTGTACAAGTACTTGTTGTAGTAAATAAAGATATTATTATTATTATTATTATTATTTAATGTTTCCACCCGGACCTCAGTGTGTTAAGATAAGATAAGATTTCGTTCGGATTTTTAACCCCGGAGGGTTAGCCACCCAGGATAACACAAGAAAGTCAGTGCGTCATCGAGGACTGTCTAACTTATTTCCATTGGGGTCCTTAATCTTGTCCCCCAGGATGCGACCCACACCAGTCGACTAACACCCAGGTACCTATTTGCTGCTAGGTGAACAGGACAACAGGTGTAAGGAAACGTGTCAAATTTTTCCACCCGCCGGGAATCGAACCCGGGCCCTCCGTGTGTGAAGCGGGAGCTTTAGCCACCAGGCCACCGGGCCGAGTGAGCTACCAACCGAGCCACAGGACACGTTAATCTTAGGGAAAAGCCCAATGTTTCCAACCGTACCCCCTTCCAGGAAGGTTCCTTGATGCTGGTGAGGGGCTCTTGATCTAGGGAATTGGATCTGTGCTCCAGTTCCCCGAATTAAGCCTGAATACCTTCCACATCCCCCCCCCACAGGCGCTGTCCTTCGAGTTTAGCGCTTCCCCCTTGATTATAATAATAAATTCCACCCATACCATGGGTTTTGCTTGCTACTGACTCCTGGCATTTGTACGCCATCTATGTAGACTGATATCAAACTCAGAAAGTGTTAATTAATAATATTTTTGAAGCAGTTGGCGAACTTTTAGAATCTTCAGTAAACAGTTCCATATTTTAGGGCCTTTGGCCTGAAATTTCTACTTAAGTGGAGCTGAACATTTGGGATTTCAAAGAGTTGTGTATTATTTCTTCTGCTTTAATGTTTCTTGTCACACTAAATATATTGACATTTATTTTGAGTTTTCTTTCCAACTGTTCTTTTTTTTTTTTTGCATGTTTTGTTTATTTTATTTTGTTACTGATTTTGCAGACACATCGCCTCTTGTGATGAGTTATGGCGCCACAGGTGAGATGAACAGTCAGCTTCCTGTAGTTATATTCTCTCCTGGAGTTGTGCGGTGTGTGCTGTAGTTATGTCTTCTCTGCTGTAGTTATAATCTGTGTGCTGTTATAATCTCTGTTTTGTATTTGTTCTATGTACTGTAGTTGTTCTTTGTGCTGTAGTTATACTGTAGTAAAGTCTTCTCAGTTGTAGTTATGTGCTGTAGTTATATTCTTTGTGTTGTAATGTTCTTTGTGTTGTACTTGCTGTTTGTTTTATTTTGTATTAATGTTCTTTCCTGTAGTTGTTCTTTATTCTGTAGCTATGTTCTCTGTTGTAACTATGTATGCTGTAATTATGTCGTCTTTCCAATAGTTATGTCCTCTGCTGTAGTTACTGCATGTCCTCTCTGCTGTAATTACTATTTGTCCTCTGCTGTAGTTATCTCTGCGACTCTGTCTTGAGATTACCTTGAAACAATTATGGAAGTCACTGCTCCTGCTGCCTGGTCTAAGACCAGGTCTAGATATATTTAATCTTTTGAAGGTGAGATCCTCCGACATAATCACTCCCAGGTCTTTGACGTTGGTGTTTCGCTCTATTTTGTGGCCAGAATTTGTTTTGTACTCTGATGGAAATTAAATCTTCATCAGAGTACAAAACAAATTCTGGCCACAAAATAGAGCGAAACACCAACGTCAAAGACCTGCGAGTGATTATGTCGGAGGATCTCACCTTCAAGGACCATAACATTGTATCAATCGCATCTGCTAGAAAAATGACAGGATGGATAATGAGAACCTTCAAAACTAGGGAGGCCAAGCCCATGATGACACTCTTCAGGTCACTTGTTCTATCTAGGCTGGAATATTGCTGCACTCTAACAGCACCTTTCAAGGCAGGTGAAATTGCCGACCTAGAAAATGTACAGAGAACTTTCACGGCGCGCATAACGGAGATAAAACACCTCAATTACTGGGAGCGCTTGAGGTTTTTAAACCTGTATTCCCTGGAACGCAGGAGGGAGAGATACATGATTATATACACCTGGAAAATCCTAGAGGGACTAGTACCAAACTTGCACACGAAAATCACTCACTACGAAAGCAAAAGACTTGGCAGACGATGCACCATCCCCCCAATGAAAAGCAGGGGTGTCACTAGCACGTTAAGAGACCATACAATAAGTGTCAGGGGCCCGAGACTGTTCAACTGCCTCCCAGCACACATAAAGGGGATTACCAACAGACCCCTGGCAGTCTTCAAGCTGGCACTGGACAAGCACCTAAAGTCAGTTCCTGATCAGCCGGGCTGTGGCTCGTACGTTGGTTTGCGTGCAGCCAGCAGCAACAGCCTGGTTGATCAGGCGCTGATCCACCAGGAGGCCTGGTCACAGACCGGGCCGCGGGGGCGTTGACCCCCGAAACTCTCTCCAGGTAAACTCCAGGATATGTTCTCTGCTGTGCAGTTTTATGTTCTCTGTTGTACCTGCTGTATATTCTCTCTTGCAGTTATGTTCTCTGATTTAGTTTGGCTTTTCATGTAGTTGACTGATGTAATTGTGGTCTCTGCTGTAGCAGTAGTGATCGATGCTGTAGTGGTGTTTTCTGCTGTATTTAAGTATGTATAGTACTTTCTAAAGTAGTAGTTTATTTGGTCTGCTACCTGGAGTATGTCTGGAGAGTGTTTCGGGGGTCAGTGCCCCCGCAGCCCGGTCTATGACCAGGCCTCATGGTAGATCAGGGCCTAATCAACCAGGCTGTTACTGTTGGCCGCATGTAACCCGACGTACAAACCACAGCCCGGCTGGCCAGGTACTGGGTTTATGTGCCTGTCCAGTGCCTGCTTGAAGACAGCCAGGGGTCTAATGGTAATCCCCCTTAAGTATGCTGGGAGGCAGTTGAAGTCTTGGGACCCTGACACTTATTGTGTTGTCTCTTATTCTGCTATTCATTGGGGGATGTTGCATCGTCTGCCGAATCTTTTGCTTTCATGGGGAGTGATTTTCGTGTGCAACTTTGGTACTAATCCCTTAGGATTTTCCAAGTGTATATAATCATATATCTCTCCTGCCTGCATTCTAGGGAATACAGGTTGAGGAACTTAACCATTCCCCAGTAATTGAGGTGTTTTATCGCAGTTGTGTGTGCCGTGAAGGTTCTCTACATTTTCTAGGTCATCAATTTCACCTGCCTTGAAAGGTGCTGTTAGTGTGCAGCAATATTTCACCCTAGATAGAACAAGCGACCTGAAGTGTCATCATGGACTTGGCATCTCTAGTTTTGAAGGTTCTCATTATCCATCCTGTCAGTTTTCTAGGAGATGCGATTGATATAATGTTTACCTGGAGTTTACCTCGAGAGGGTTTCAGGGGTAAATGCCCCCATGGCTTGGTCTGAAACCAGGCCTCATGGTGGATCAGGGTTTGATCAACCAGGCTGTTACTGCTGGCTGCATGCAAACTGATGTACAAACCACAGCCCGGTTGGTCAGGTACTGACTTTAGGTGCCTGTCCAGTGTCTTCTTGAAGACAGCTAGGGGTCTATTGGTAATCCCCTTTATGTGTGCTGGGAGGCAGTTCGACAGTCTTGGGCCCAGACACTTATTGTGTTGTCTTTCAGCCCACGATGACACTCTTCAGGTCACTTGTTCTATCTAGGCTGGAATATTGCTGCACACTAACAGCACCTTTCAAGGCAGGTGAAATTGCTGACCTAGAAAATGTACAGAGAACCTTCACGGCGCGCATAACAGAGATAAAACACCTCAATTACTGGGAGCGCTTGAGGTTCCTAAACCTGTATTCCCTGGAACACAGGCGGAGAGATACATGATTATATACACCTGGAAAATCCTAGAGGGACTAGTACCGAACTTGCACATGAAAATCACTCGCTACGAAAGCAAAAGACTTGGCAGACGATGCAACAAATCCCCAATGAAAAGCAGGGGTGTCACTAGCACGTTAAGAGACCATACAATAAGTGTCAGGAGCCCGAGACTGTTCAACTGCCTTCCAGCATACATAAGGGGGATTACCAACAGACCCCTGGCAGTCTTCAAGCTGGCACTGGACAAGCACCTAAAGTCGGTTCCTGACCAGCCGGGCTGTTGCTCGTATGTTGGTTTGCGTGCAGCCAGCAGCAACAGCCTGGTTGATCAGGCTCTGATCCACCAGGAGGCCTGGTCACAGACCGGGCCGCGGGGGCGTTGACCCCCGGAACTCTCTCCAGGTAAACTCATGGTGCCCCTGCTTTTCATCAGGGGAATGTTACATCTGCCGAGTCTTTTGCTTTCATAGGGAGTGATTTTTGTGTGCAGGTTTGGTACCAATCCCTCCAGGACCTTCCAAGTGTATATTATCATGTATCTCTCTCGCCTGCATTCCAGGGAATACAGATCAAGGACCTTCAACCGTTCCCAGTAATTTAGGTGCCTTATCATACTTGTGTGTGGTGTGCAAGTTCTTTATACGCTCTCCAGGTCTGCAGTGTCTCCAACCTTGAAGGGGGCTGTTAGTGTGCAACGGTATTCCAGCCTAGAGAGAACAGGTGATTTGAAGAGGATCATCATGGACTTGGCATCCCTGGTTTTCAAGGTTCTCATTATCCATCCTATCATTTTCCTAGCAGATGAGGTAGATATATTATCGTACCCTTTGCAGGTGAGATCCTCTGACATTAACACTCCCAGGTCCTTCACTTTTCTCTTTTGCTCTATTGTATGGTTAGAATTTGTAGTATGCCCTGATACATTTTTAATTTTCTCAAATTTTCCATATCTGAATAGTTGAAATTTCTCCTCATTGAACTTCATATTGTTTTGAGTGGCCTGTTTGAAGATTTGGTTGATATCTGCTTGGAGTCTTATGGTGTCTTCAATGGAAGTCACTGCGTTGTGGTCTTTGAGGTGAGATCTTCTGACATTATCACTCTCGTTGGGTTTGGTCTGGTGTAGTTTGGTTGTGTTTCTTTGACAGTAAGAAATATTCTCATCCACTCCTTTGAGTGGATGAGAATATTGGGCTATAGATATCACTGGAGGACCTTATCATCTGAGTAGCCTGTCTGGCAAATGTTTGACTGTGAACCTAAGATTATCTCTCAGGACCCTCGACTAAGAATCATTCATGACCGTATGTGGTGTATCATGTGCATCAGTATACTATATGCATCACCAGCATGGACCAAATGCTTGATCAACCGTGTCTGAAATCCAGAGAAACTAGAGGTTAGCAAGAAGACTATTGGAAGGACTTATAAGGATAGACTAAAAAAACACAACTGATCCTGATGGCGGGATGGATTGACCAGGTGAGACATACAGCATTCATGATATGTACAGAATTTGAAAAGTTTGACAGAAGAACACTTAAGGAGGCAGAAAACAGAAACACAATGGCACAGTTAGAATTTAGACATAAATAAGCTGTGGGGATGTTAACCCTTAAATGGATTCTTTTCAAGTCAAATTCAGAGATAGATTCGATAGCACAGGCTCTAAATATGTACATACGTATATTGGAACCAGGAACTGCTTGCTTGATATCCACAATAACAGCAGCTTCTTTAGGATGAAATTGTTTTATTATTTTTAACACGAATTTCTGATGTTTTAATGCTAAAAGCTCTTTCAGTGACTTAAGGGAATTACATCTCAGTTTTTAATTAACTCTTTGACTGTTTCGGTTGTATATATACGTTTTATGGGCCACCGTGTTTGACGTATTAATACGCCAAAATTCTAGGGGCTTCAGATCAAGCAGGAGAAAGCTGGTAGGCCCACATGTGAGAGAATGGGTCTCCATGGTTAGTGTGCACCATATAAAAAAAAATCGGGGAGCCAGTGGTGCATTGTGGAAATGCCATTTCAGTAGTCCTTTTTCAGCATGCCTAGCGGTAAGAAATATGTGGCTCCCTGGCAAATCTGGGACTCTTCTCTTCCCAAGTGATGCTCTAACACAAAGTGTCAGTGAAGATCAGTTTCATGGTTTTGAGGGGTTTGTGACCAAAAGTAATGCCCAGGATACCAGAAGAAAGAAAGAAAGAAAGGAAGGAGAAGGAAGGAAGGAGAAGGAAGGAAGGAAGGAGAAGGAAGGAAAGAATGAAGAAATAATGAAGAAACATTTACCTAGGATAACTATATAACACAACTAAGATAAGATAAGATAAGATAAGATTTCGTTCGGATTTTTAACCCCGAAGGGTTAGCCACCCAGGATAACCCAAGAAAGTCAGTGCGTCATCGAGGACTGTCTAACTTATTTCCATTGGGGTCCTTAATCTTGTCCCCCAGGATGCGACCCACACCAGTCGACTAACACCCAGGTACCTATTTGCTGCTAGGTGAACAGGACAATAGGTGTAAGGAAACGTGTCGGAATTTCCACCCGCCGGGAATCGAACCCGGGCCCTCCGTGTGTGAAGCGGGAGCTTTAGCCACCAGACCACCGGGCCACCTGCTACTACTTTGAAGAAAACTGCTCAGACGAGGTGTTTTGTCTGTGCACATACAAAAAAACTCCCACAAAAATGCGGAGACACTCGTTTTATGTGTGAGGAGTGTAAAACACCATTGTGTATGAAACCATGTTTCAAAGAGTTCCACAAGCTGCAGAACTTCTAGGAACATGTCCAGTGACTGTACATTTGTATATATATTATAGAACAATAGTAATAAAAAATTTTTTTGTATTTGTGTAAACAAGTCTTGTAAACAATATATTGATAATTATGTTTGTGCGCTTATTGTGTTGTATACAACGAGTGTATATATGTACATTGCACCTTACTTTGGCCTCACAGGCCACATAAGTTATGTGAAGGAAAGAAAATAGTGAAAAAACAAGAAACCTTCCAATGCAAGTAAACCAAAGTTTGGAAATAAATGGTATAAAATACCGACACAATGGAAATATAAACACATATGCAGTATAATGTGATCCTTTATTGACTATGTTTTGCCCACACAGTGGGCTTTTTCAAGTCACAAGTCTGTTTGTGACTTGAAAAAGCCCACTGTGTGGGCGAAACGTAGTCAATAAAGGATCACATTATACTGCATATGTGTTTATATTTCCAAACCAAAGTTTACCAGGTGAACTGCATTCACCACTGTTGCCATACAATGCTCATTTTCTGCCAACTTTACTCCTCTATATCTCGGTAAGTACTGATCACAAAAATTTTTTTGGGACTTACAACAATTAGAAAATTAATCTTAACATTTTCATGAGAAAAAATAATAATTCTTTTTTTTAATATTCTTCAACACCAGGAGACACTTCAGGATTTGGGGTTGTGACAGTCAAAGGGTTAAGGCATTTTTATGTTGCTGACTGTGAGAGGTGTGCAAGTGAATTTATACTGTATGAAAAAACTGATCTCATTTAGGTAGAGCAATGCTGTACCAATAGATAACTTCTGGTCATATTTAAAGCTTATTTATTAATACTGTACACTATTACTATTGGTTAATCTGAATGTCTCTTTTTCTTGGTGACAATGTTCTGTGTGTACATAAATACATTACATATTGAAGGCATAACCTTCTGCATTTTATTCATTAAAGACAAACTGCAAGGGTGTATCCTTGTATGCAAATACATATAAGGAGTGCTGCTGGCTTGCCAGCCACTGCCAAATATTGTGTTGCATATTTATTGATGTTTTGGTACAGTGTTTTGAATAGTTTTTATGAAAAACAGATGACCTGACCATAGAAATCATATGTCAGTAGTAAAGCATTTACTACTGACCTGGGGTTGCTGCTTTGGCTTTGTGAGATGTATCATGAAGTCTTAAATATACTATCCATGGGTCTAAATGATAAGATGCCAAGAAAATAGAAGATATGACACTTTGCAGAACAAGCTTGGTAAAGATCATCAGCAGCAGCCCTAGAACAAGCTGAACTTCAGTTCCTTTCTAAGTATAATTTTAAGAAAATTTCTCATAGCACTCTCCATATCCCTTTTTTTTTTAAATAAGGTTTTTTTCTGACAGAGAGAGTTGCCAAAGAATTTAATTACGTAAATACATTTGTGAAAATTTGACTCCACATCAGGGAATTTTCATGTTTGATTCATTTTTGCTTTGTTTATTTTCCCATTATCACCTTTGTATTTTTGCTTAACATGTGGTGCCACAGGCACATGCTGTAGTTGCTGGTACTTGAGTCAGCTCTGAGGATCAACATGCATTGAAACAGTTTCCCAATAAATGCTTGTTTTGGCAAGTGAGTGTTTTCTTTACATGATGTCCATGTTAACATACCAGTTAGTAGTTCCTTGGTGCTATTAGAATCTTTTGGATCACATCCTTGGGGGTTAGTAATATTCCTTAGATAGGGCTGAGCTTTGAAGTAAGCTGAAGTTGGACAACATCTCTTTGCCTGTAAATTTAACTGAAAAATTAAACCAATGTTGACTAGTGTTGGTTGAACAGTACACTTTCATGCATTTGTTCATCAATTCATGGGTAACAAACTAGCAACATCAGTAATTTGAGCCTTTAATAACACTGACAGCAATAATTGGAGTCTTTATGACAGCAGTACAGTAATTGGAGCCTTCCTATTATTTTCTAGCCATTGGGATAAGCATTGTTAACAAGATATGAAAAAAAGTGACAAGTTTGAGCTTTCAGGGAGCGAGGAGGGAGGCGTGTGTGTGCCTCTGCTGATGACTCCTGATGATACCATTGACTCCAGTGATGCTAGTGATTCCTTCGACTCATCGGGTGGCATTTATACCAAAGATTCATATGCCAGTAAGCTTGCATGATCCTCCCAGTCCTGAGTTGACTGGTAGGAGGCAGTGTGGGGGTGTGTGTCCATGTGGGTTTGGTTATTATTTATAGATTTTAACCCATGAACTGCAGAGCTGTTAACTGGTACTGATCTGCCTCTGCTCCACCAGCACCACACACTACTGTACTTATGTTCACTTTTTAAAGTGTTATGTATATCAAAGTAATTGCCAAGTAAACCAAAGAGCTCCATTTCCCTATATATACCAGTACACCTCTTCTCCTTCCACCCTTAAAGGGATGTCTTACTGCTGAAGGGCTCTTGATTCAAGAAATTGGAACTACTCTCCCTTTCCTCATATGAGTCTTGATTACCCCTCCATTCTTTTTGTTTCCTAGGCATTGTATGATCCTTATAGGTTTAGCTTTTCTCCAGTATAATAATTTTTCAATTAATTTTTATATTTGCAAAAAATACAGTGCATTAATAAGGCAATTTTTTGGGCAAAGTATTGTTTGCAAAGCCATACAATATCTGGTGCAGTATTCAAATAAGCTTCACTGGTAAGTTAGCAAGTAGAAATTCTCAAATTCTCAAACTAAATTGTTGAATGCATTCACATTTATGATAATGGACATGAGTTGTCCATCTAGTAGTGCTGTTTTGAAAAACTACTAATGATGATTAAGGTTAAGCAAAATTCAAATAGGGAATTTACAAAAATCATTATTATTTTTTTGGACATGTACATAAAATTTTTGCCAGAAGTTAGTGTTGCACAACTCAAAACATAATAGGCAATCATGTTTTAAAACTGGAGGGACCTTATTTAGATTATAAGTAAAGAACATTTCATGAACTTCAAATTAAACACTGACCACCTGCTGGGGACAGGGACTGTGTACGGTGAGTTTTATGTAGTTTCACTTGTCATTATTTCTCCATTACCTAAAGTAGGACTCTTCAGACATAAGACTTGCTTCTAAATTGGTTTATTTTTATGAAAAAACTTGCTTGAACAAAACTTAAAGTTGAAGTCCAGAGGCATTCATAGGTTTTGCAGACACTAAACTGATGGAAAATAAAGAAAATAAACTTAGTAAAATGTATTGCTATGCAAGTAATCATTTACTTCACTAGTTAGTACATGCAAGTGATGCAAAATCATTGTGAGAATTCACTTTTTTTGAAGCCAAGAGAGACTACTGTACCTTGTTATATTCAGACTTTAACATGGTTAGGTATACAACTAACTAAACTCTAGAAACCACTTGACATGCACAACAATTTAATGATGAAGGATAATATGCAGATTCGCTGTAATTTCAATGCCAAGAAATATTGTACAGTACATTTAAAGGTAACAGTTATCCATAGAAAATTAAACAAGTGTCAAAAAATAAAAAAAAAATGTTCTGAAGTACGTATTATAAACACCTGTCCTTATCCCTATCCTCCCCATAAATTATCAGAACGTAATTTTTTTTTTTGGTTAACTTATTAGAGAATGCAACTGGCAGTAGATTCTGCCTACAGTACCTGATAGCTAATAAATAAGTGATAGTTGCAAGCCTCATCTACAAAGATAATGGTGCCTTGGAATTTCATGAGCTAGGCAGTGCTATTAGCATCACTCTGCGGTTTGAGGGTTATCACACTTCCTGTATATACTTCACTAAAATAGTATTTGAATAACTTGCAGCTTGTAGAATCCTACATGGGTTTATGGAGCACACACAGTGTATGTTGTCTGTGAGCATCTTCTGTGTTCATGGATCAGTCATGGTCCACAAACATAAATGATAAAAATCCTCCAGGCATCCATATCAGAAAATAATCTTATCCTTTCTATACCCCTGTTTCCTTCAAGAGTTGTACCTTGATGCTGGTGAAGGGCTCTTGATCTGAGGAATTGAAGCTACCTTCCCTTTCTTGGGATCAAACTTGATTGCTCCTTATTCCCTACACAGTGTGACCCTTACTGATTAAATGCCCCCTCTTGAATATAATCATAGTAATAATATATGCTTTTCTTCCTATACTTCTTTGTATAACAACCTTAAAAACTGTAATTTGCTTTTCTTTACATTTCTAATAAATCTTTTTTTGCTCCTAAATTATGTGCAGCCTTTATATATGATATACAATACTTATGACAAGCTGATGACTAAGATACACATACAGTACTTTGGTAACGTAATTGTTGAGATGTTTTGCTTGTGCAGCAGGTTTCTTCAGTTAATTAAATACAGCAGTCTCTTGAGTTATGATGGGCTGCAGTTATGATCATTTTGAGTTATGATTTGCCCTCATAAAGGAATTTAATTTTGAGTGGAGATGAAAAATTTGAGATGTATAATTTGTTAATTAGTTATGCCATCTTCTGTGTTACCAAGTCATCGTGGCTCCTCCAGGCCCCTAAAGTGTACAGTAAACAGGCAGTTTTTCTGAAGATCAAGCAAGAAATTGTGAAAAAACATACTGCAGAAGTTAGAGTTATTGAACTGGTGCATGAGTATGGCTTTCCACAATCAACCATCTCTACTAGCAAGCTAAAAGACATTATAAAGAATAGTAGAGTGACAAATCTAAGCTAGTAAAAAAAAAGCAGAGATTGCCATAGAGATGGAAAGGCTGTTGTTATTGTGGATAAGACAGCATAAGATGATGGGAGATAAAGTGCCTGCAAGTTATCTGTGAGCATGCAAGTCTGAGCTACAATAAAATTTTTAAAGGGGTAGACTGGTAAGCCAGTGGAAGGCCTCGGTCAGATGACCATGAGCTCTAATGGTGGGTCAACATCTGACCAAGACCCATGTCAGGAGACACTTGTCCTGCTTCCTGACAAACCTTACCTAACCTACTATAAAAGTTGAACTGTTGAGGTCTTGGAACGAATTGCCATAAAACCTTGTATGTATTTTGGGGTTTGAGTTATGATAATTTTGAGGTATGATACGTATCGTGGAATAGATTAATATTGCAAATCAAAGGACCACTGTGCTGATGATTATAACACTGAAGGCAGTGTCATCATTGTTAAAATCACCTGTATTTGAGTGAAGAAGCCTGCTGTGGAGGTGAAACATTTTGACAAAAATACTCGGGTATTGAAACTGTGTAGCAATAATCATGTTTCTCCTTATTTTCACATGACTGATTTCTTTGTAAAAGCTAAACACAGTACGTATATGCATTTTTCTTGTCCTTCACAGACCTTTTAATCTTTTCAGTTCACCACGGATTTTTTCCTCACCCCATTATATTTTCTTAACGCTTAAAATTTACTTTGCTAGTTTTTATTGTACAATATATTCTTTTAAAAGTGGCCATATGCTTTGCAGTTCATCATTGGTACCAATATTGTACACCACATTGGTGTTTTGTATAATAAGGCAACACTGAAATACCTTCCCAGGTTTAACATTTCCCTGGACCCATTATGTGCCTCCTGTAATATTTTTGACTAATTCCTGCAGGAGGTGTATGGGATGCTACCATAATAAAGTCAGATCAAGGTTTAGCACTTTAACGAATCTTATGTCTTGCATAATCTTATATTTCCATCACTTAGTGTTTCTTTTACAACCCTTCTCCTATCCTCTCTGACCCCTCTTGGCATATATACTCGCTCATTTCCAGTTCTCAGTTTGCCCAGACTAACATAATTGATTTAATTTTCATCATTTTCTTTTCAGTTCAGTCATTCATTATCACTACCTTCATTATCTCATCTGTTATGAAAATCCATCATTGATATTTTGTATTTTATTCATGTTCCATGATGAGGTGCTGAGAAGAAAACCAACACACTCACCAGTAAGTGAAAATTGCATTTTCTACACCAGAATGTTCAACACTTTTATCCTGCTTTTTTTCCATTGAGAATAAAGTGATGTGTGACAATGAAGTCATGTCCAAGAACAGTGATTTGGCTTTTGAGAAAACTGACGAATTCACCATACCACCTCAAGGCTCATTAAATTTGCTTTAAAATGAGACAAGTTTGATCAAAACTTCATGGTTGATTACTGAGATAGTTTTGCAAATATTTGTAGGGAATTTTCTCTGAAGTGACATTTGGCAAGTTTGTTGGTTTTCTTCTTATTACCCCGTATGCTCATTTGTATTCTTCTTTCACTGCATGCTACAGTATAGTTACATATAGCTTAGCATTAACTAATGATCAGTTCAAATTAAAATCTTCATTTCTTAAAAGCATATATGGAAGTTAGTGATTGAATAATTCATTTTGGTTGCAGGTTGATTATATGACACAAAAATTATATGATACAATTGTAGGCTTAAAAGAAAGCCACTTAATATGCAAAGTATTTCAGGCAAACTATGATAATCAAAGAAGTTGTCACCATAAAACACTACTAGTCTGCACTCTGATAAGAAAATAACCATGTGTATTTCTGCCTGGCATTCCCCATTCTTGGGCAAGATTCACATTTTTCTCTTATCCTCAGTATTGCAATTATGTCCACTGGCACATTGGCTTTTCCTCCTCTCAAACTTCCTAACAATTTACTTTGTATGTCCTATAACTTTATCCATACTTTTTATGTTTTTTTTTTTTTTTTTTTTACGTTGACTGGTACTTAGGTACAGTACTTTGCCTTTGCAAATTTAATTTGTGTGCATTTACAACCATTGGCACCTGTGCTAGTTAACATGCCTGTTTATATCTACACTATATGTAAAGTATGCCGCTGTATTCTAAAAGCTGCATTTATCATTATAACTGAGTCTTAACTTATTTGCAGGGCATCCACATAAATACAACAGTCCCACACGATGCATACGACACGTCTTATGATGCAATATTTACTTTTTTTGTAACAGGATGGACCCTTAAAGCAGGTATACTCCAAGTGGAAGACTTTGGTCAAATGACTAAAAGAGTTTCCCGATTTGTTCTGCTGAACAAATTCCTCCTTCCCCAATGAAGCTCTTGTACAGTGTGTTAGTTTAGGGAGCATTACACATCTTGTGTTGAAGGGACCCCATGACA